CAGAGCAGGAGAGATAAAGGAGTCCCTTCAATTTTCTTTAATCAGATGTTAGAACACAAAGGCTCAGATAAGGATTATTTCTAAGACGATTGAGCGATGACAGGCTGTGTGTAATGTGTATTTGCAGCATGATGTGTGCTTATTAACAGTAATCTATAGACTTCCTGAGGGCTTTAGAGTACGCTGCCTCATATGGCACCCTAACAAAATCATGGGAGGTGAATTCTTACAAATAACAACCGCTATGAACCCACAGCTACGGTTACGTAAAGACATAATCTTTTCAGTTTTACATAAAGCATAAATTCACCACCGCTAGGCTCTCGAGGTTGCTGCCTTTTGTTTTGCCTTGAGCAAACTCTTTCCCATCCCATCCAGGCTGGGAGTGATGAGCCCTGTTATCCAGATTGAGGTGAGAGAAGGGTTGGTCTCCTGCCTCTAGCACCATCTGCCGCAAAAGGCCACTTTTAGACATGCTGAATAGACAATACTGTACTTACGAACACAGGTGGTGATTATCAGAGCCATGACATCATCAATACAGACAGAACAGAGGGGTGCTCGGCTCTTTTAGCGATGACTGGATAAACCGGATTTGTCCATAGGAAAGACTCCACAAAAATCTCCTAGCTTGAATAGCTGCAGATGTGCTTTAAATCCAGTAGTCCCACATTTGATCATATTGTGCTGATCAAAGTAGGTCACAGGTGTTAGCCCAGGTTCTTCTTACTCAGAAGGGGCAGTTGTTTGTGTAAGAAGCCATGCTTCTATATCACGCATGGTGATCCTCAGAGTTCTCAACTTGGCCCTCTCTTTTATAACATACAAGCTTCATTCAGCACTCACTGTTTCTCTAGGATCATTGCTGTTGTCTTTCCTCCTTTTCATTGTGTTAAATCTTACCTGAATGCACCAGACCAGACCAGCAAACTACCTAAACGTCTGCTCAGTTAATTGATTAGCAGCACCTGGCTGCTACTTACCGTCTTAACCTCCATGAAACAGCAATAGTGTACTTTGGTTTTGTTTAGGACTGCAGGGAATCACGTGGAAACTTTTTCTTCCCCCCACAGGACTGTAATCTATCTCACACGCATGGCAAATTTAGAATCACCTATTAATCTAACACGAATATTTTGTGGTAGGAAACAGAGTAATCAGAGGAAACCCATGCACGCAGGCCCAAGGACAACACGCAGAAGGGCCCCAGCTGGGGTTTGAACCAGGAACGTTCTTGTCATGAGGCCACAGTGCTAACCACTGAAAAAAATGTACTGAATAAAATTTAGAGAGAAAAGAGGCTTAATATTCAAAATGACAGCAAAATCCTGAACGTAAATCAAAAAGCTTGACTATCGTGACACATGATAATTTTACAGTTAGGTTGCCAAAGAGACCTCTACAAATCTGTCAGAGCTCAGGTCAAATAGCTTTGGAAAGAATTTTCCCAATCCTTTCCTGTGCTGTACAAACGAAGGCTTCTATTACTTTTCATTTTTCTTTCTATTACTTTTACTTTTCACAGCCAACATTCACGCCCACTTCAGGTTATGCTGGCCAACTGTCTCAGAAAAAGCAGTTTGAACTGCCGGGAAAGTGTGTGAGAAGTGTGGCCTTGTCCACATATTTACACAACATCACATGGTGCTTTTCAGAACAGCTCTAAAAAAACTATTCACCCTAGTAGTTGTCACGACAGTATATGTAAAAAATAAGCCTGAAAAATATCTGTAAAACACATTTTTTTACTTTCTGGAAATCTGAAAAATAACATTTCTTACCTGTCCCATTAATGCTACACTTCACCATAAAATATAATGATGAAAATTCATTAGAAATCCATTTTTTAAATCATTTTCTGGCATTGCTAATGTCTTTTAGTAGTATTATTTATTTATTTATTCGGTTGTCGGAGAGCACATAAGTCAATAAGTCTGCATTTTTTCACCTAAAATGACATACCATGACTTATAACAAAACTTAATTTCTACTTAGGTTTCACATGGTCTGCACTACCAGATATATAACCAGATATAAATGGGGGCATGTGTGACAGCAGGGTATGGCTTGTGGCTTGGTTATAGGAGGGAGAGGGTGCAGCATCAGTTGGGGAAATAGTGCACCTGGAGTGCATTTGCCTCCCCCCTTCATATAGTAGGTGCCAAAGTAAGAAAAGTTTAACAGACTGAAACTGGGCGAGCTGTAAAGCATTTTCCTGCATGGATGTGTATAGTAGAGGGATCGTGTGATGTAAAATCACTCCCTCTCTCTGTGGTTATTGAGAAGAACCTGCTACAGTATTTTAGTCTGATCTGAGTATATCAGTGAGAGTCCTTCGGAGCAAGCACACAACACCCATTCTAGTGTGTTTGCTTTACTCTCCTGCTGCCCCTGACAGAACTGATTTAAAAATGAGTTTACAGGGCTCTGAACAATTTAGCACCTCCATATTAAGATAACTTCAACACTAGCAACATGCAAGTGCAAGCTGCCACATTTCAGCACCACAGCTTCATAATGTTTCCAAACTGTTTCCATAATGAAATACATGACAAAGCATTAAATACCCAGGATGTGTTAAAAATTTCATCCTCGCGCTGACTTAAGCCAGAAACAACCTGCGCGCGGAGAGAGAAAAATGTCTTTCGAGCTATTAGATCAGAGCAGCGGTCCAACCTTTGAACCTAGAAACGAAAGAAAGCCAGCCTCAGAGGGAGGGGGGTATTGACTGAGGGGAGAGGCAGGGCTGCGGTAAGTGGGATCTGAGGTGGGAGTTTCCGTGTCAGCGGGCTCATCTTACAGCCTCCCTGATGGACGATGGTGATGTCCCCCAGGGTCCAGATGGGATTCAGTGGTCAGCTCGGTGACAGCTGGTGAAGGGTGGTCAGGGCTCATGCATAATGGAGGCACAGCAGACCACACCACAACTTGACTGCTTCACTGATGTGGAAGTAGTTCCATCTCAGTGTCAATACTGCAGGGTTACTTGAATATTAACTGCTGTTTAAACTCTGCGATCAGGACAGGCATTTAAGTGCTGATTGATATTTGCTTGTTCTTAAAACAATCTCTTTTTTTCGTATTTGTATTCTATGGTCAGTCAGTATGGGCCATGACAAAAGTAAGAGAAAAAGGATGAGGTACGAGCAGTCAGGTGATCAGATTTATGTACAGGGGACATTAAAGTATGAAAAGTATGAACCACAAAATTAATCTGCAAAAATATTAAGATATTTTAAGCTGACATGATAAAAAGGGTTAGAAAACGACTGCATATATCACATCAGGGAAACATCACTGATGTGCATTCACTGGGAGTCGCGTTTGTGCCCACATCTTAAATCCAATAAATAAATCCAATATACACTCTCTCTTTTCATGTCCCCCTAACTTCAGAAAGAAACCTCCAACTGTTTAGGAGCTAAATGGTCTACTTCGTCCACTAGCAAGTTGCTAACGTTGTCTCTCTGCCATCTGGTGCTGAGAACGTAATGTAAAGTGCATTCATCAGAGCTATAAAGTGAAAACGGCTCCCTGCTGCTGCAGAAAATGACGGCTATGAGCCAAAACAGTAAAACTGCAGCTATAAAACCAAAACAATGAGCTTAGAGACTCTAAAATGCTCTGTAGAGCCATAAGAGGAACTGCAGAGATGTTCTATTTCCCTGTGGGATCATAACTACAAGTGAAGAATTTTACAGTGAAGTCAGTTGGCTTATTGTAAATACAAACATATTGATTATAGACGACATTTTAGGTTATCCAAAATATAGATCGGATAACAAGTGGATAACTATGTTATATATGTGTGTGTTTCAATCGCAGTATAGCACATTTTAGTCCCGCTCAAACTGGGAAAGCAAGTTTCTTTATTTACGCCTGCTAGCAAAAAACTGAAACCTGTCATGAAGCTACAATGTGGCTGGATGTAGGACCAACAGGGTAAAGAGCATTTTAAGCAAAAAATAAAACAAACTGAGCCCTTCATCAGGACACCAGCAATAAGATATGAATCATCGGTATAAAAAAATGTGACACTTGGGATGCTGACAGCTACACCTATATATGTAGCGAGCACTTTCACGGATGCAACAAATATTAGCATTATTAGCATTAGACTCTGTAAGGATTCTGACAGGGAAATCAGAATCAGAATCAGAATACTTTATTAATCCCGAAGGAAATTAGGGATGATTCAGAAATCAGTGGTTCATTTTTATTTATATAGCATCAACAATCCCCCCCCAACAATCAAACGGCGCCCTTTGAGCTAGCACCTGATGACGGTGGGAAGGAAAAACTCCCTTTTAACAGGAAGAACCCTCCAGAAGAACCAGGCTCAGGGAGGTGCGGCCATCTGGTGCGACCGGAGAAATGTGGGAGTTATGTTTCCAAGTGGTTCACCTTCAGCTGTAGATCTGACAGCTGACTAGATAAAGGGTAAAAAACTAACACTTGTTAGCTAAAAACATTTTGTCTGCATTTCAGACCGTGGTTGCGTATTATAGGGCCAACTGTTTCCCCTCCAACGTGCACAGTTTTGAACTTTGTCAGTATTTCTCTGTTATTTATTTGGACCTGGTCTTGAACTCTAGGTTTGATCTATCTGCATAATGAGAAGAAATTGAAACTGAATTATGATGGATGCTACAGTTTGGGTAATAACTTTCTCATCTTCCATTTTCTCTTCTAAATCAGTTCTGTCCTGGGGCTTTGTTTAAAACCTGTCTGATTAGCTGATGGCTCATGTGCATTCTCCTGGTGGGGCTCTTTTTAATGCTGAATTTCCACATCTCAGCAATGGCATTTAGCAAAAATAAGACCAGGTTTTAGGCAACTGTGATTGCTTTTCAGAAACCTTACAGGATAGACGTCTTTAGGTGTCTTAGTTGCTGTCATGGCTTCCATTTCCAGCACGAGCAAGTCCTCACTTGTCAATGTGTTGAGAAATCAGTGCTACTAGCTATTCTGTTGTCAATGGACACACTGCTGTACATCACCTCAATCAGTCATCCCAGCCCTTGTAGGCAGCCACCGCTAGTAGCGACCCGACCCCCATGCCCGATACAGCAGCAGAAAAGTGCTTACCTAGGAGAAAAAGACAGAGAGGACATTAAATCAGTGAGCATAATATTCTAGTGAGCACTAGACTCGCTTTCACAGATTAGCCAATCTCTTCTCTGCACAGTGCACTGCCACGGAGTTGTACCTCCAATTGAAATGGAGAGAGGGGAGATTATCCCATATATTCTGGTGCTCAGCAGTTTATGTGTCTAAATTCAGGCAGCAACAAAGGTCAATACACATCTGTTTTTTTCGAGGAACAAGTGAAAACCTTCATCAACCTTCATCAAGCTGAGAATCTAAAATCTAGGTCTTCTGGCTTTGATTTTTGAATATTCACAGAGCAAAGCTCAAGAGGAGAAAAGCCAAGGAGGGGGGGGAAAGCAAGTTTGGGGGATTTCGTGCTGTAGCCCGGGAGGGATTGAGCCCTGTATTCAGTCCACGGGCCTGTGTGAAGTGTTTTTCACTCGGCTCGATCAAAAGACAAGGATGTCTTCCAACGCCGGATGTTACATCACACAGCTTGATTCTTCACACTCTCTTATCCATTTCTCTGCTTATTTGTACCCTTTTAATTCCAGGGATCTCACAACCCCTCCGCCGAGCCAAGTAGGCACACAAACAAGGCAAATGAACAATCTGAGGACGGAAGCTGCACAACTTCTGACGGAAAATAAATGGAGATGCATGCAGTGTGTGAAAGACTCGAGTGAATTGAATCCCAATCAATCAAGTACCTACTACTGATGTAATGTAGTAGCGGAAAACAGAGAATTACAATTGGGTGCTAAGATTAAGTGACGACAAAATGAACCAGGATTTGCTTCACTTAAGTCCTACATTATCAGAGATGTTGAAATGAGGGGTAACATTTCACATTAAAGCCCTAACAGAATTCATAAGCACTATTAAGCTTTCTAAGAAATTAGCAATAACAAGTTGTAATGCAGTTGTTTTTTAAAGGTTTTATAGAACATTGAGCATTTTGGGTTTTGGCCTTCTGGTTTTACAAAACAAGACTTGTTTTTCTTCAGGTTTTATTTATTTTTAACCTTTTACAATGAAACAAATGCGAAAAGAGCAAACATTAACATTGCTAAAACACGGGATTCATACTCGGCTCTCTTATCAAAAACTTCCAAAGTCCAATAGACAAAATAAAAGACTGACCGTTCTTACCGGATATTTCAGGGTACAAAGGAAAAAACAAACAAACAATATTGGCGGAGAAATGCCAAAATGTTAAAGTCAGAGCAGAGTCAGAATATCAGTCTGTAAAAGTCAAGATAAAGACAAAGCACAGTTGTACAGTTAGGATCTAAGTTTGTGATTGAGGCATATGAAAGGTGCAGGTTATGAGAATCACCCCTTTCTCAGTCTAGAGCTTGCTTTTGATTGGTTCAAAAAGCTCTTGGTCTATCAGAACAAACATAGCCTTTCCAAAAAAAAAAAAGTGTTGGCAGATAATCTGGCAAATTACCAACGTCACACCAGAGATGTATTCATGGACCGCGCAAGATTAAGTGTGATAGTGAGCCTTTAACAGTAGCACATCTATTGGAGGAGAGATGGATTCAAATAAAAAGTCTCATTCAAAGCTTTTAAAATGTTAGTGATTTCCGATAAAAAGTCCAAATGATTCGTCAGGAAGACAATGTGTAGATTTATTGATAATTGCATGTTGCAGTCTGAAAGCATACTTTATTTATTATTAATCTGAATCTGTAAAACAGCTGAAAACAGAAAATCATAACAAACGTTGAGGACTAGAAAGTACAACATCTCCTTATTGCATGTGGAGGTAAATACAATAAGCGATGCTAACTGGTGTGGGTTACAATACTCTCTCGAGGAGGAAAGGAACAACAGTTTAAGCCACAAAGTAACAAAAGAAAGTCAATGAGAGCAAAATATTGCTGTTAGCTTTGAACTATGACTGACAGCAGAGGCAAGTTAGCCTGGTGCCCTCGTGGCTGATCTGGGCTCATCATTAAAAACAACCTCCACCCTTCAGTCCATTGGACTATGAACCCCAGGTGCTTCAGAGATGGCTTTCTTTCTCTCTTTTTTATAAAAAAAATTGGCTGAGCTGTGACAGCCAATGGAGCAGGACAAAGATCGACTCACACTGAAAGTATAGTCCATACAAAGCCTGGGAGACACAAGGGCAAAGCACACTGTCTAGACTGCTACTGATAATCAGTCAAAATGCACGGGTGGGTCAATGGGTAGGAGGAGTTCAAGGTTGTCCACCTGAGTGTGTCTCCCTTGGTGGGATATGGCAACTGGCCATTCAATAGAATAACACGCAGCTTTCTGTGAGCTCTGAAAAAACACAATCTCCAGAGTAAAGCAGCTTTTCGCATTTTATTTGCTCTTAAATAATGAGATATCTGTTCAGTGATTTCTGCAGTAAAGCCTCGGGGTAAGTAAGTTATCAGCACAGAGATAACATTTAGTTCATCGTAGCACTTACAACTGTAGCTTTACTACGCTCTGTGCTTCACAGAGCCGCTCTTTCACTGTTGTTCTGAAGCCTTGATGCTCCAACCAAGAAGGACACACTCTAATTTTCCAGCCTTGAAAAGTGTTAGGTTTAAAGATCGTTTCCAGTTTTACAAAGAGCTCTGAGCCATGAATTAGCAAGAGGGACCTGATCTGCTGAGCAAGGTCGGAACTTTTACAAAGTTACACAAATGCAGATAGAAAGAGGTCATCCAGCCATTGCCAACTCTTACAATAAGCGCTGTTAATGACAAGACAGTTCACAGAATTGGGGGATAAGATAATGCAAAAAGGCCAGACCTCCTGCCATCTCAGATCTGACCTTATTATCAATAGACTTCTAATTAATTAATAATATTCTTGGTTATTATGAAGAAGTAAAAAAGAGGAAGTAAAAAAAATATGCAAATTTAAAACATTGTGATAAAAGATGGGTCTCTGTTTTTCGTCTCCTGGTTGAAATGAACTTGTATTTTTAGATGATATTTTATCTATGAATAAAATTGCTATATTTTATTAAAGTAGATTTTATTATTTCCAATTCATCCATACCCAAAAGTTCACGTATTCAGAAACATCTCTCTTTTAAAAGGCTTCACCAGAATCTTTAAATCATCATAAATGAGGAGTCCCTTGACTTCTTTAGAGAGATTTTCATTTGTCTATCAATAGAAAAAATAAAACCGTCCGTTTTTTATTGGCACCCAGCGATGAATGTGAAAACTGCAGTGGTGTCACAGACGCGCGAATAGTTTCATCTCTGGATAATTTATGCGAAACACAGAATGACTATTCAATTAAAGAGCAAGAGTTTGTCAGCTAAGACCATTGATTAACAATAAATCCACTGATTAAATAATTAACCTCAAACCCAAAGTAATTACTTAATCACTCTGGGTGACACCTCTAGCTGTGTTATGTTTCTGCTGCTTTCAAAGTTACAAATTTACTATTCCATCAATACGATGTGCCATCGTGCGAGTTAAACCACGCACAGCAGCAGACCTGCAGCCTGGCTAAACTGGCACTCTGATAGGGAGCAGCGTTCAACTGAAGTTAAAAGAAAAGCGGATATTTCCCCGGGCAGTGTTATGCAAAACAAGCCTCTGAAGCCATCGATACTGCCCTACGTTTTGGACCGAAGACTCTGTGCTTGCCCGTGGTTGTCAATCGGCTGCGCACACTAACAATTTGCTCCTGTGTCAAAAACAAACACATGAAAAGAAAACAACAATCCGAAGCGGCACAATTTCAGAGAGACGCGAGGGGCACGGTGTCGGTACCGAGTGGCACGGGCAAGATGGCACCGTGCAGCATTTTAAATGACTAAAGCAGCTTCATTATTTTAGGAGGTTTGTTCCCGAGAGCTGCAGCTCCCTGCGGATCGCATCAGTGTCAAGTCATCATCCGTGACAGCAAACTGCCTCTGCTGAAGACAGCAAAATGCACCTCCGGTAAACATGCGGCAATGACAACGTGCCCCGTGGTTTAGTCTGAAAAATTCAGCATCTTCTGACAATGAAGTTAGACCACATCAATTATCAATTACACTTAATGGTAGAGGAGAAATTGAATTAAAACAGAGTCATGGCTGACCACAGGATACGAAGAGATATTGTTCTTGGCAACCGCATTTTATTCATTCATCATTGACGTAAAAGTAATAGGACTTCAGAGCTGTACTAATGACCAACGACAGCCTCTCTGTAAAATAGATGAAAGGTGTGCCATTATGGGGTGGACTCATGAGAGGAGAGGCCATGCGGCTAATGACTCATTAGAGACATCTATAGCCAGACAGGCTGGGAGCCAAAAGGCCAGGAGTCCTTTTTAAAGACTCAATACCCCAGCTGACACTAATTGTAGCCGTCAGGATAGCATGGATTTTCATCGCAGATAATAACAGTCTGGTCCCCTGACACATCTTGGCCTGTTACCCACCAGTGGCATTGCCCAGATCTGCTAGATCCGCTCAACAGTATCTCCTACCCCAAAGAGTTGGTGCACTAGAGAACCGCCATAAAACAGCAAGCACTCGGTGCAGTAATGACGGCTTTAGATCTGATAAGACGCTAAATACGAACCATCCGACAGTGAGATGCAGCAGAGAGGTCGCCTTAAAAAGAAACGCTAGCAAGAGTGATTTTCAATATTCTCGTTGCATCATTCAGCTGCCGCAAGCACCTGCAGCGTTGAGCAGACACATCTCTCATTTGGACAGAGGCAAAGCGAGATGTTTTATGGTCTAGTCATACTCCCTGTCACTGTGCTAATGTGATTCAGTTCCAAAACAGTCAGAGGAAATGAGAAAAGCCACTCTTTCCCACCCTTGTAGCACTCAGACATGATACACATGGGGCTTTACACTGCTAGCAGGAGGAAGGGGAAAAAAATTATAAAAACCTTTCATGATACATTGGAATAAGTGGAGGAGAGATACTTACCACCGAGTGCAGCGGCAGCAGCGTGATATTCTTGATGATAGATTTGAATGTTAGAATAGAAACTGTGAAGGAAAGATTGGTGGCAGTTCATTACACTTCAAACTAAAAATGATTGGCAGCAACCCTCCCCTGGGCTTAGCATGGAACAAGAGCCGGAGTACTGTATTTTACAGACTATCGAACACGCTGGCAGTCAAAATACTTATCAGAAAAACATTCAGAAGAAGCCCCGTGTTTTTTCTTTTTTTAAGTCTACATAATAGGCTTCACGGAAAGCACGAGGATATCAATTGGCCACAATGCCTGCAGTGTTCACTATTAGCCATTTAATAAATAGCTGCAGTCTATCCAAATGCAGGGAAAATGTTCTGACAGCGAATACAAATTCACTTTAAATGGGAAGTCGGTGTAAACCTTTGCAGCGCTGTGACTGTGCAGTATGTATGTTGGACTGCTCATTTTTAACATATTTTCCATTAACCTCAGCTGCAGAGTGCCAGGCCTGTAGGCGATTTGAAATAAGCTTTCCATAAAGGACAGATGATGATTTCTAATTTTCCAAGCATGCTAGACTAGAGTTTTTTTTAAAAACCCCGTTCGCTGATTTACTCCTCTTTAATTTGTTTGCTGTTGTTTGAAAAAAATAAATAAAAGCCCTCTTTGTTTACCTTCAGTTCTAGTGAATTTAGCCTGCATTTTGTAAGCACCACAGCCACCAGTGCAACAATATCGCCATATTATGCTCACCCCTCCGCAACAGCTACACTGCCTTTTAACGTTTACTGAATTAATGATGCGATGAACTAATGGCCATAAATATAAAAGAAGGAACGTGGTGCCCGTGCCAAAGTCCAGTTGTGCAGCCTTGAGCTGAGCATCGCGCTGTTTTGAACATGGACGAGTGGATCAGACTGAGAATCCGAGGGATACCTCACACTCCTGTGGCATGCCGATCAAAAAGTACTGCGCGCTACTGTCCTTTTTGACTCTGACTGGGAATATAATTAAACACCTAACATGTTCCTGTATGTGAATGAGACCGTGAAATCATCAGGAAAGTGTTTGCTGAGGTCACAAATAGGTGAGCCAAAAGAGCATGTTTTAATATGATTCTGACCTCCTGTCAATCATGCTGAAGGACAGGCATGCTATGAATAAAAAAAAGTAAATGCACCGTGGGTAGATGCTCTTGCCAAGCGACCACTGGAGAGCACACAACCAATGGGATAGTTGGCTTCCTAGAGTTTGTTTTCTTCGTGGCACTATCTACTTCCAATGACCAGAGGCATTAACTGATGTAGAAGACTGGAGGCCTGGTCCTCTTGCAAGCTGAGATTGTGTAACTTGGTAGAAACAAACATCTGCTGCTTGCACGTCTGCGTACTATTGTATTTATTAAAAGTCGGGTTAAAAAGCAAGGCAGCACCATGTAGAATTCAAACTGTGTGCAACTGTAAAACAGCGGTGACCACTTTGAGTGGGAGATATTAAACATAATCTACCTTTAATTAATCACCTTTATGTTTTTGACCTGCAATTCTTATTAATCATTATCAGTGAACTGTGGCCTCTGTGTTTTCATGTGTGTCATCGCTAATTTCCTTATTGAAACTGGCCTCAGCAGCCTTTTAATTTGAAACACAAACAGGAAATGTCCGCTTTATAGTGAAAGCAGAAGAGAAATAATAATAAAAGTGACTGACCACAGGCCTTAGGTTGGAGATTAAGAAGCCAGAACAGGAGAGTGAAAGGTAGGAGATGACTCCATTGGTACTCTGATGGACTAAGTGCTG